GTGATTTGAGTTTTTCGAAATAATTCATACATCCCAAATTGCTTTGTGTAAATTATGACTACATAGAAGCATTGAAATGAAAATGAAAAACAGAAACACATCAGGTTTAAGGAAGCATCTAATATTTTTTCACAAAAAGGAATTACAAATATTTCTTCCTGAAAAACCAAAATTCGGTGCAGATACCACATGTTTTTTAATAACCGCTGGAAAAGTGGACAAGTAAAATATATACTTTTTATCTTATTACTAATTACATATTATATTATGTACCTACTACTTTATTTTGGTAAAGTTTGTTTCTCAGACAAACCTTAGAAAAGGTTTATGAATATGGAATTGATACCCACCACCTCTTGATAGATTTTAAAAGCGCTTATGACAGTGTAGACAGAAGCGCATTTTATAATGTCATGGCAGAACTAAATATTCCGTCGCATCTAATAATATTGACTAATAAAAAAACTGACTGGGAGAGCTTCAAAATAAACCTTGAACACAAAATTAATCTTGCTGTTCCATTAAGAAACACGAGGCAACTTGATGACGAATTAGAAGTTTTTATAAAAAATATCCAACAGTCAGCTTGGGAAAATACTCCCACAATAACTTCTAGAACAAAAGGGAACAACTATCCAAAAGAAATCAGAGAACTCATAGTAGAAAAAAGGAAGTTAAGAAAAAAATGGCAGCAATACAGAGCTCCACGAGACAAAACTAGTCTAAATAATGCTACACAAAAACTAAAAAGGGAGATACAGAATATAAAAAATTCAACAATTAATTATTTTTTAAGTAATTTAACAGCTGACCAGAACACAGATTATTCTTTATGGAAGGCAACAAAAAGATTGAAGAGACCAATTATTCATTCCCCTCCTATCAAGTTGGAAAACGGCAACTGGGCTAGAAGTAACGAACAGAAAGCAGAACGATTTGCAGATCATTTAGAAAGCACGTTCAAACCCAACGACAATGATAGTGAAGAACTGAGATGGGAAGAACCATTCCAAACTGACGAAAGAATAACATTGACATCACTTAGAGAAGTATCAACAGAGATAAAAGAGAATATAAATCCTAAGAAAGCTCCAGGATATGATCTCATAACAGGAGAATTATTAAAAAATCTACCAAGAAAAGCCATAGTTAAGCTGACACACCTAATAAATGCTGCTTTTAGATTGAGATATGTTCCCAGACTCTGGAAAGTAGCCGAAGTAATTATGATCGCCAAACCAGGTAAATCTCCTAATGAAGTGACATCCTATCGACCAATATCCCTCCTTCCGGTGATGTCAAAACTATTTGAAAAACTTCTATTAAAAAGATTAAAACCAATAATAGAAAGAAAAAATCTTATACCAAATCATCAATTTGGTTTCAGAAATCAACATTCCACTATAGATCAAGTTCACAGAATAACGAATATAATAGAAAAAACATTAGAAGAAAATAAAGTCTGCTCTACAATCTTCTTGGATGTAGCACAGGCGTTTGATAAAGTCTGGCATGACGGTTTAAACTATAAACTAAGAACGTTCATGCCTAAACAGTATTCAGAAATCTTGGAATCATACATTGCGAATAGATATTTCAGAGTAAAACAAGAAGAAGTGTACACCGACTTAAGGGAGATCAAAGCTGGCGTGCCACAAGGAAGTGTCTTAGGTCCGGTCCTGTACCTATTGTATACGTGTGACATTCCAGAGCTAGAACAAAATACTATTGCCACCTTCGCGGATGATACAGCCATACTAGCGATAGGAGACACTAGTGAAGAAGCGACTGATAAATTGCAACTATCAGTAAATAAAATACATAACTGGACCAGAAAATGGCGAATAAAATTAAATGAGACTAAATCTGCACACATTAACTTTACAAATAAAAAAATAGAAAATTTCCCAGTTAGAATAAATGATACCCGAATTCCTTATGCAACATCAGCAAAATACTTGGGCATCACCCTAGACGCGAAGCTGCGCTGGAAAGTCCATGTCAAAAAGAAAAGAGGGGAGCTTGATATTAGATATAAGAAATTGTATTGGCTGATTGGAAAAAATTCAACATTGTCAATTCATAATAAATTATCCATCTACAAGCAAGTACTGAGGCCAGTATGGGTATATGGGTGCCAACTCTGGGGCTGTACCAAAGCTAGTAATCTACTTATTATCCAGAGATTTCAAAATAAAGTACTGAGAAACATTGTTGATGCTCCTTGGTATATCCGTAACAGCAACCTCCACCAGGACCTGGGTATGGAAACTGTGATCGAAATAATCAAGAGAACAGCAGCAAGTCACGAGCAGAGGCTGCATAGTCATGTGAATGTCGAGGCAATCCAGCTTCTTGACAACACTGAACTAAAGAGAAGACTCATAAGGACAAAACCATTTGAGCTAGTGTAAATGTGTAACAGTTTAGTGTAAAAAGCAGAGTATAGTGCTGTGAAGTTATTGCATGCTAGTTAGTAGTGCATTAGTTAATAGATAAAATAAGAGTAAGCCATAGGGTAAGCCCTTAGATTTAAGTATTTGCTGTTATTATGTTAGGTCAGAAAATAACTGATAATTGGTCATTTGTGACCAGATAGCAGTATACAAACACCGCGTAGGTGTTAATAAAAAAAAAAAAAAATCTAATAATATTGGTAAAGGCAACTCTTTCGTAAGTTAAGTGCAAAGTCAAGGTACAAAATAGAGTGTCAAGATCTTTTCAAACATATACTGGATTATGCCAGAGAGACAGTCTATCGTGCCTATTGTTTAACATCGCGCTAGAAAGAGCCATAGAGAAATCGGGCATAATAACCAGAGGTACAATCATCAATAGAAGTGTACAGATATTGGTCTACGCAGATGACATTGACATAGTAACACGGACAAAAATAGACCTGAAACAGGTTTTTAAAACATTAGAAAATGCCGCGAAGACAATGGGACTGCAGGTCAACGTATCCAAAACAAAATACATGAAGGTCACGAACAGCACACAAATAGCGGCACTACAAGATCTGGTGACAGAAGCACACACATTCAAAGGGCCTCGGAGTTTATATATCTTGGAACACAACTAACTAACAGCAACCTAGTAAGCGTAGATATTAAGAGAAGAATATACCTGGTGAACAGAGCTTACTTTGGACTAAAGCAGCTCTTAACATCACACATAATTAGCAGAAAAACCAAGATACTAGAAACTCTTATTAACCTAATTACTATTTAACTGGGAATAAGCCACAATTAAAGATAAAAATACGTTTATTGATGTTTTTAGAACGATTTCCGAAGTGGAAATTGAAACGTGAATAAACGTATTTTTATCTTTAATTGTGGCTTATTCCCAGTTAAATAGTAATTAATTTAAAATGCCACAAGAAAATAGCTTCAGAACAATATCCTATTAACCTGTCGTGATATACGTGTCAGAGACATGGACTATGGTAAAAAGCGACGAAGAACTGTTAGGCCGCTTTGAAAGAAGAATACTTATGCACATATACGGAGGAGTACAAGAAAGCAGGAAATGAAGCAGGCGCTACAATTTTGAGTTGTATCAATGCTATGAAAAATGCAACATCGTCCGGTCTATTAAAATTAATAGACTAAGGTGGCTAGGACACCTTGAAAGAATGGACACTGGAGACCCCCAAAGACAGATATTATATCAAGAGCCAGTAGGAACCAGGAAGAGAGGCAGGCCAAGATCTAGATTTAAAACTCAAGCCGAAGATGACTTGAGGAAATATAGGAGGGAATGGAGACTGATTCTTGAACAGGCCAAGACCTTCCCAGGGTTGTATAGCCAAAGATGATGATGATGATCCAATAAGCAAATTAAAAAAAAATGACCTGCAGTCACCTTCAATAAAAAGTTATACGCTTTTTTTCGAAAAAAATGCATTTTTAAGTTATCTAGACTCAACCTAAGGGGTCTATCAAAAAATAGAAATCTATTCCGATATATTATATGCGAGATGTTCCATTCAACTATTTGACCGGTATAATAATACAACATGCATGAGTACGCTAGTAGCGACCTCTATATGAAACACCAACAAAAAGCCATTGTATTCTAACCTTGGGGTAATAGACAAATTCACGTACTCTCCTGTGTACCTCCTGTGATCAATGACGATTATAGTACAACAGAAATTAAACAAAGGATAATTCTAGAAAACAAGTGCTACTTTAATAAAAATATATAAAAAAAAATAGGTACTTACGGTTCATTTGTTTTGATATTCGTCAGGTTGTTCCACCGTAGAAGACCGCTTCTCGTAGCCACAAATGACAGCGTAGATCCGAAAATTTCGTAGCCTTGGCTGCAAAATTTTACTATGTTATTTAAGAAATAAACAGTATAATAAATACAAATCATTGCTGGCTGTTTATCTCGTCACATATATAATTATCAGGGGATCATGGGGAGTAATATATTGGTTTTAATATTATATTTTTTAGCAAAATTTAAAAATATATTGTTGGTTTCTATCTGAAGTAAAAATTTACAAAACAAGTGTTCATCAAAGAAGCTATTATGTAGGCACTTAAGTGCTGTATAACCCCGGGTTTGCTTTACGAAATGGCAGCTTGAACTCAGTAGAAGGCATCTTTGAAGATGCGTTATACGTTGATCTATGAACTCATAGGTTGATCGAGCGATGAATTATGAAGTTCTTTACGAAATGGGTCCAGAATGTGAAGTGCTCGTCACAATAAAAAAAAGGAAATTGGAGTACGTTTATCATATTATGAGAAACGATGATAGGTATGGTTCACTTCAATTGGTTGTTAAAGGAAACGTGTTTGGTAAGAAAGCCTGGGAAGGTGAGGTATTTCCTGGTACCATAACCAAAAAATTTCTTTCAATATATCGACCAAAGGGCTGTTTAAAGCAGCTGTAGACAAATTAAAATTGACGTGATGATAGACAATATAAGAAACGGATAAGCACCACAAGAAGAAGCAGAGTATTCTCGTAATCCTTATTACCATTTCTTTTTCTCGATATTCCAGTATTAGCTCATCCTCGTTTATTACCACTTCATTATCATTTTGCTTTTTTACTGTAAGTTTTTTTGTAGAACATTTTTGGTTTTCTCTTTTCCATCTATAGAGAAACATAAATGATCAATTCTGAATGAGACCAAACCATACGTTCTCCCGAAGTCTCCGGTGAAATAAGGAAACCAAACTTTGAAAAATAAAATTCATAAAAACATTCTTTTTCTATTTTAACATGTATTTAATATACATAGTGTAAGAACAAAAAAATAATTCTAATAGAGATTAATGTGCAGATTAAAGGCACAATGTTATACAACAGTTGGCAGTGCATAGGTTATTCAGATGATTTGGTATTTCTAACAAAATTAAGAAAAGAACTAAATAAAATTTTTGACAAAATTCGAAGGAGGAGCTGGAAAGTCTGTGATCTGATGTTAAACCAATTGAAAAGCAAATATATTGAGATAAAAGTGGAAATAATAGAAGAATATAAATATATAGTACTGAGGAATAATCGAAGAGACAATGCAGAAGGCAACAGGGAACCACTGCATTAAGGACTAGGAGAGTACCTAGTCCTAGATATTCAGCAATAGGATAACTAGTCAAAGAAAATATAATACTGATCATGGAATTCGGATACCAAGATCCGACAGAGAAGGACAGTCACAAGACGACAAGGCCTTCTCGGTCGCCAACAGACGAAATCCTTGCCAATCTAGTGCAAACAAAATGTTCACGATCTGCACATGGAATGTTAAAACATTATACGAGGCCGGTAAGACTCATAATGCAATCAAGGAGATGGGTAGACATCATTTGAATAAGCGAAATAAGATGGATGAAATCTTTCAATGTGAAATTAACAATCATCACATATATTATTCAGGTAACCCCAACGGAAGAGATGAAATGGAGTAGGTATAATCTTAAATCAAGAAACTGCCAGACATCTTAAAAACTATGTACCTATATCGGAAAGAATGCTCCTCCTTCAACTTGATATCTACCCAATAACAACTAACATTATCCAGGTATATGCCCCTACAGCTGACAAACCAGACGACATAAGTGAAGCATTCTATAATGAATTATTTAACACCTTGAAACACCTTCCCAAAAAGGATCTACCCTTGATTATGGGTGATCTAAATGACAAGATTGCTAGGGGACAATCGGGAGAATTCATAGAACAGTTTGACCTTGGAGAAAGAAATGAGCGAGGAGACCGATTGGGTAAATTTGTATCAGAAGAAGAGTTTGTAATTACCAACACTTACTTCAAACTTCCGTACAGAAGATTATACACGTAGAAATTACATTACATCAGTCAAGACATACCCAAGAGCCTATATCAAGTCAGACCATAACCCACTGATTTGCAAAATGAAGGTCAGGCTAAAGATGATTCGACGTAGTGTCAACCCAAAATACAACATCGGGCTGATCAAAAACAAACGCACAGAACAGAGTGTAAAATAATTTATACATAGCAATTTGAATACCGTTATTCAAGCGGATTTAATAGACCACGAGCTTAAAAAATTGCATAGAGTTTCACAAGACATACAAGAAAAATTCCTCAAACCACCAAAAATTAAGAAAAAATCGTGGATAATAAACGATAGAAGATCTAAATATGATGCAAGAGAGGCGAAAGGACAAAGATCAGGACAAGACATTCTACAAAAGAATAGACAAAGAGATCAAAAAAGCAATCAGAATGGCTAAGGACACACAGCTGAGAAACAATGTGCGGAAATACAGCTATTACAAGAGAAACATGATTTACTCCATATGCACAAAAAAGTTAAAGAAGCTGCAGGCTTATAAAAGCCTAGAAGAGTTGGATGTTTGGCAGACAACCAAAGTAATCCACTACTAAGTGTAGAAGAGAGACTAGACACTTGGAAGAAATATGTGAAAGTAACATTTGCAGATGAAAGGCTGATTGCCATTGAAGACATAGAATGCCAAAAAAGACCCCCGATTACCATTGAAAAAGTCACGGCAGCTATTAGAAAAACTAAAGATGGTAAAGCTGTTGGGCCTGACAAATTGTATATTGAATTTCTGAAACTTATGGACGAATAAGGAATAAAATAAATAACGACTATATTTAACAAAATATATATAACTGGAAATATTTCTCAAAGCTGGTTAAAGTCGACCTTCGTAACTGTACCAAAGAAATTAAATGAAAACATGCGAAGACTATAGAATAATTAGCCTAATGAGCCACTTACTGAAAACATTTTTAAAAGTGATACATAACAGAACATTTAAAAAATGTGAAGAACAAGTATCATGGATACAATTTGAATTCCGTGATACCGATAATCTTCATAGAAAGAGGAGTGCGACAAGGCTGCATGCTGTCTCCAGTGCTATTTAACATGTACTCGGAGCGTATCTTCGAGCAAGCACTGGGACAAACAGGAAGGCGTCTTAGTTAACGGAGTGCGTCTAAACAATATTGGCTAGATCTTAATACGAACAAAACGAAGTACATGGTAGTTAGTAAGCGCGAAATATTAAATACACATCTTTGTATTTGATCACAGCCAATTGACAGGGTAAACAGCTATACATATCTTGGCACTAACAATCAATGGGACCACTTTATTGAAATAAAACAACACATAGGGAAAGCAAGATCAGCGGTCGTAAAGATGAAGTCTCTTTTCAGAAGTCACGATTTACCACTTAGTACCAAAATCTCTATCATCAGATGCTATAAATTTTCTATATTGTTGTACCGAGAAGACGCATGGACGCTCTCTGAACTTCTTTAGGAAAGTTCGAGGCCTTCGAGATGTGGTGTTACAGGCGCATCTTACGAATTTCATGGGTAAATCGTGTGACTAATATTGAGGTCCTACGTAGAATGGGCAAGCAATGCGAGATCACTAATACAATCAAAGAGCGCAAATTAGAATATCTTGACCATGTTATGAGAAATGAACAGAGATATGGCTTATTGCAACTCATTCTTTAGGGCAAGGTATTTGGAAAGAGAGGACCAGGGAGAAGAAGAATATTATGGTTTCAAAACCTAAGGAAGTGGTTCAATAAAGAGAAAGGGCACCGATAATAAGATAGCTAGAACACATTTACTAATGCCACACAAAAGAAATTCCTTAAGAATATTACAGGTGGGAAAAATGGAAAATAAAGAAAATGGTGACCATGAAAGAGATGGATAGATGTAGTCCAGAGCGACAACTAAGAAATCGGAATCGCAGACTAAAGAGAATAAGAAAAGAACCGAAAAAAGTGTTAAAACCTAAGCAAGAAGTGTTGGGGACTTGTAGTGCTGTTAAATAATATAAAGAGAACGAATCTAGAATAGGAAACTAGAAGAGTTAGTAAATAGACATGGTACTCAAAAAATCAAAAATATGTTTGTTATTCAAAAAAACTGTACATCGATTAGCAAAAAACGTATGATAATATTGTTAAAATTATTTCTCCAAAGTTAAGATAATTCTGATTAATGTAAAATGATAATTTCGCAACGTATGGGAAATATGTAAAGAATATACGCGCGAAAGAAGAAAATGGTTATTAACAAAGAGTATTTAAATTAAATATATAGTTATAATGTATGTAAGAACTTTGATGTGATTTTATTAAAAAAAACTTTATAGGTTAACTTTAAATACATTTTCTTTACAAGTAAATGTCGTATTTATACATAAAAATAATTCAAAACAAATATTAAAGCAGTAATTTTCAAACACACACGCACACAATTTTCAAACAATAATAAAAACTAGACTACAAGCCCGTGGGCTATTTTTAGGGGGTCATTTGACCCAACATGTCACATGTTACATGTAACCTGCCATTTGACCCAATCACGTATAAATCAATACTACAATATGTAATAACAACTTGAGAAATTATGCCGCCAAATCTTATCGGTTCTCAAAGCATGGGGGTTCAAATTAAGGGTCTATATTTCTCACCTCTGTTTCAGCCGAAATGTACGGCATTGCAAATAAATTAATCGGTGTACCGATCCGAAACTGTATGCATAAATGACATATTGAGTCAAATTGGCGAAAAAATTTTCCGAAAATAAAAAAGGTCGCAGGTCATTATTTTTGTATAACCTACCTAAGTTATAAATACCGTACAAATATGTTTTGCTAAAAAGTACCCCCCCCCCCCTTGAGTGATAAGTTTATTCTTACCTGTGCCTCACTTGTACCGATAAGAATTGACGGCATATTATATAAAGTTGTTATTACATTGTAGTTTTGTTTTATATATGATTCGTGCTGGGTCAAATAACCCATTAAAAATCTTCCATGGGCTTGTAGTCTAAATGTAATTCAAAAAATATATTTAACACGTTTTAAAATACTTTCTAATAATTACATATTTCTCTTAATAATAATTTATTTTATACATTGTTATTTTATACAAAATAAGATCAAACTTGACAACTTATGAATTCGTAGCATACCATATTATACTTACCATCTTCTGTATACTAAATTATTATTAAAAATAGTAAAAACACGCATAAAATTTCAATTACATAAAAATACAGAACATACGATGGCGGTCAGAGAAGCACTTAGCCTTACCGCCCGATTGTGCCGCTATCGCAAGACAAATTTATCATCTTGTAGTAGATTCTCGTAGACGGCTAATACCAAAATTTCAAACGAATCAGACTCTTCAGCGGTTTTTAGAAAAAAAGAATAGGACCAATACTGTTCGGTGATTCAATTCTTGGTTTTGGAAGAAAATCGTGGATTGAAATAAAAAAGCACTTGGATGCTCTGTACGGTCTCTTCTACTTCGATGACGACCATGAAAAATTGGTTTAACGAGTTCAACCTGGTTGCACGTCAGTTTTTGATAAGCTACGCCCAGGTGTCTCTAAAACGGCTACCACGAAGAATAATTTGACAAAAATCTACGATCTCATATTAGTAGACCGATTGACAGTGTGCGAGATAGCTGAGAAAGTAGGTGTCCCAAAATACCGCCTAGGTAATATGCTACATACAATTTTGGGCATGAAAAATCTGTCGAAGCGGTGGGTGCCGCGTTTGCTAACTCTGGACAAGAAGGTCAACCTTAAGA